TTTCCCTGTTGGATGACGAGAAACAGGCGGGCAGTGCTGTAGTTGGCAATTCAGGGAGCAGGGATATTGCTGTTCTTTGGCCCTTTGGAGCCGCAAGGTGCTTCTCTCAGCAGCGGTTCCCGAGCCATCAGCCTCAGCACAGTTAATCCCAGCGGCTGGGCCCCGGCAGGCCTCAGGCTCCTTCCCATTTTCACCACTCAGGAAAGGATGTGTTTGTGGGAGAAGCCAGAGGAGGGCGATTTGCACGGCTCCCCAGAGCACGTTCCGGCCTGAATGGGGGCAGGCGGAGCATCCAGGGGCTCGAGCCCTCAGCCCTGACCCTGCCCGGCCCACAGGAACGCTGGCGGGTGAACGCCGAGCAGTCCAAGGCCGAGTCCAGGCAGCGCGCTCTGGAGGAGCAGAGGAAGGTGGTGGCCCAGCAGATGGCCGTGGAGCGGGAGGAGATGGAGAGGGCCAGGGTGAGCCCGGCCACAGCGCGTTCAGCTCCGTCCCTGTCACTGCACCCAGGGATGCTCACCTGTGCCCTCACGCCCTCGCCCCAGAGTGCCTGCACCCAGGGATGCTCACCTGTGCCCTCACGCCCTCGCCCCAGAGTGCCTGCACCCAGGGATTCTCACCTGTGCCCTCACGCCCTCGCCCCTGTGCCCTCACGCCCTCGCCCCAGAGTGCCCTGCTGGAGGAGCAGAAGTCCGTCATGCACAAGTGTGGGGAGGAGCGGCGGCGCCTGGCAGCCGAGTGGGCCGAGTTCTATGCACAGCAGAAGCTGAGTAAGGAGCGGGCAGAGCGTGCGGTGGAGCGGGCGCTGCAGGTGGACACCCAGCGGGAGGGCACCCTCGTCAGCCTGGCCAAGGTAAGACCCAGAGCCTCCCCGGACAGCGGGAAGCCCAGGCAGCCCTGCCCCTCTCCCCACCCCGGGGCCTCACGGCTCCTCCGTCAGGACGCAAAGAGCGCAGCGGTAACAGGAGTATAGGAATTAAAACAACAGTCATCGTAATAACTACTTTATCGTGTCATCGCAGGTACTTTCTACACATCTGCTCATATACTCCTCATCACGTTCCCAGGACTTAGATATTCTAGAAATCGGATTCTGAGAAGTTGAGCGCGGGGGCGAGGGGCTGCAGCGGGGCTTGGCCCCAGGTCTCCCACCACCTCCTCCCAGAGTCAGGGCGGAGCCGAGCCACAGCCATGAGGCAGGGCGGCCAGCGGGTCCTCGGAATCCTGAGCAGAGCCCAGTTCAGCTCCGGGGAGGAGGCTGCAGAGAGGCTTTGCTGTCTCCAGGAACAGGCAGAGCTGAAGATCAGGGCAAGCGAGCTCCGGGCCAAAGAGGACCAGCTGGCGGCCGAGAGGGAGGCTCTGGAACAGGAGCGCCGGGAGCTGCGGCTGGAGAAGGAGAGGGTCGGCGCCGCCGCCCAGCGCATCAGGCTGCGCACTGAAGAGGTGGAGAGCATGAGCCAGGTGCCCAGCGGCTCAGCCCCTGGGCGTGGGCAGTGCACCCACCCCGCCAGCCCAGCTGACCCAGGCGGCCTTCCCGCAGGTGGCCTCGCAGAAGTACGAGGAGGGGGAGCGGGCCCTGCGCGAGGCCCGGCAGGTGCAGGCGGAGCAGCAGGCCCGGCTGCAGCTGGTGCAGCGGCAGCAGGAGCAGCTGCGGCAGCAGGAGCGGCACATGCACCAGGCAAGGCTCTTCCTGCCTCCCGCTCCCCCACTCCCAGGGCATCCCTACCCCCACCCCTGCCCCCAGCCTTCTGCCCTCACAGCTGTGTCCTCTCTGGGGGGACGGGGACAGGAGAATCTGAGTCTGGCCCAGCAGCGGCTGCAGCTGGATCGTATCCGACAGGACCTGCCCTCTGGGCCCGTGGGGCTGCTCTCCAGGGCCCAGGGCTCGGCAGCCTCTGGCCTGAGTGGTAAGTGGCTGCAGGAGGGTGGGACATTGGCTCGGCCGGCCCACTGGGCAGGGCAGGGCCAGCAACACCCTGCCTACGCCTCCTGTGTGCTCAGGTTAGGGGCAGCCGGGTTTTAAAGTCATCTTGGGTTTTTTGTTTGTTTGTTTGTTTATTTCTGGCTGCGTTGGGTCATCGTTGCTGTGCTCAGGCTTTCTCTAGTTGTGGCGAGCAGGGGCTACTCTTCGTCGCGGTGCGCGGGCTTCTCATTGCAGTGACTTCTCTTGTTGCGGAGCACGAGCTCTAGGCACGCGGGCTTCGGTAGTTGTGGCTCAGGGACGCTAGAGCGCTGCAGTCTCTGACTCCGTCCTCCTTGGCCTTTACAGCCATCGTGGCTCCCGTCCCCCCGGCTCCTCAGTGCAGCCAGCTGCCAGCCGGCCTGGGGCCCTCGCACCTCTACGCCAAGCTGGTGCTGCTGAAACACACAGCTGAGCAGGTGAGCTTCCCAGAGCAGATGCCGCCCCGGCCCAGGCCCGCCCACTCCCCCTGGACTTAGGGCTCCTCGTGTTCACACTGGGGACAAGCGGCTCAGGCAGAGTCAGGAGGGAGCGCAGCCCGGCCCCGGGGCGGGGCTGAGCCCATGCCCTGGAGGAGAGTGGCAGCGCAGACCTGCTTAGAGGACGCGGCTCGGACACGCCCACCGCTCGCTGGCGGCTCGGACACGCCCACCGCTCGCTGGCGGCTCGGACACGCCCACCGCTCGCTGGCGGAGCGTTTCCTACATGCAGGCTCTGTGCCGTGCCTGATGAGCTTGTACCCTCCCACAGCCCTACCAGGCAGGTCATGTTATTGTCTCCAGTTTACAGACAGGCTTCGAAGGATGAAGTCACGTGTGAACACGTGGCCCCACGGCGGGAGCGCTGGTGTCTCACTCCAGTGCATGTGCTCGTTCCCTGCCCCACCCCAACTGACTCCCAGAGCCAGGCTGAGCTAGGATGCGAGTGAGAGGGGCCCCGAGGGAGGGCTGCTCGGCTGGCACCCAGGGTCCAGCTCACTCTCAGTCCAGCAACCCAGCGTCCCTGTGCACAGAAACAGGGCAGGAGGGAACCAGCGGGTGGCTGCTCACTCAGCTCTGCCTTTCAGGACCGTGACTTCCTGGAGAACGAACAGTTCTTCCTGGAGACCCTGAAGAAAGCCTCCTACAACATGACGTCACATTCAGCCTGAAGGCCCCACTGCCTCCTCAGCAGAGGCCTGACTCTAGAACCGTCCCACTGCCCACTGGCCTCCAGCGCCGAGCAGGGGGGCCAGGGAGAGCCCTGCAACGCCCAGGGCCTGATTACAGCTCTTCCTGTGGACAGGGTGCCAGCGCGTTCTTTCCGACACTCCGGCCCGTGCGGAGGCAGGCAGGGGCCCCCGTGCCTCTCAGACTCCCCAGGAGGCAGCAGCCTCTGGGGACACGCGAGGCTGAGGACATCTCAGCCCCACGACACCGTCAGCGACAGCGTCGGTGCTCCAGCCCCGCAGACGTCCGGCTCAGGGCCCAGCGTCTGACTGGGCTCTGTGGGCCCCTCGGCCCCTCAGCCCATCGGTGGTCTGGGGATCTTTTCGCCTGGGCCTCTTCTGAAGCGGGGTGTCTTCTCGACTCCCTTGCCACAAGGAGTCTGCTGCCCTCCCTGCCTGAGAGGCCAGCAGAGGGAGCACCGGGTCTCCTCCCTGATGGGGATGTAGAGTCAGGCCGCAAATTTTCAAGAGCCTTCTAGCCTCCTGGCCGAGGGCGTGGGAGGTGCTGCAGGGGCAGGAAGGGCGCTGTGCCCGGCAGCTTTTACCTCACAGACTGACCTGCCCTTGGGACTCAGCCAGCCCTTCCTGCTCCCAGGCTGGCGCACAAAGCCCCCGCCTCGTTCCCAGCTGCCGGGGCAGCGGACTCGCCAGCACAGACGCTGGCTTCATCGGCTTCTTCTAATGCACTCCCCAGAAGCAAAGAGGGGGCTGCGGGTGACAGTGTGGTGTGGGGAGGGACAGAAGGCTTTTCTCCGTGCTGTTCACTTGCCACAAAACCCCGGCCAGTGGGAACGAAGATGACAGAGCAAGAGCCCCTGCCTGGGAGGATACAGAGCGCCGAGGACCATGAGGGGCCGCACCCCCGCTGCTGTCCCGGGTGGGGGGCTCCGCCCTTCTCCACGTGTGGGCAGAGGGCCAGGGCCAGCCAGAGGGGTGCCAGGAGAGGGGTGGGAGGATTTGTAGTTGTCTCCTGCAGACCCAAGGACTCAACTAATAAAATCACAATTAACCTCTAGAGCGGCTTCTCTCACCTCCCATCAGAGGGGACCGTCTGGGGAGCAGGAAGGTGGTAGAGGAGAGGGTAGTGCCGAGTGGGGTGTGAGCGGGCACAGGTGCATCTCTGCTCTTTTAGAACAGCTTGCAGAGGGAGCTCATTTATATACAGCCTCTTGGCCGTGAGGCTTGTGGGATCTTAGCTCCCCAACCAGGGATTGAACCCGGGCCCTCAGCAGTGAAAGCTCAGAGTCCTAACCACCGGACCGCCAGGGAATTCCCTAAATTGCAATATTCTTAATGACTGGATTCTTAGAATTTGCCATGGCTCATCAGAGTTTGAACCTATTTCTCGGAAATGTTTGCTCTGCAGGGCTGTTATTTGCTGTAAAACTGGCCAGGGCTGGGACTCTCCAGCCCCACACTCCCCTGACTGGACCGCAAGCAGGAGAAGGGTGTGATTATCACCCCCACTTCGCAGATGAAGGGACTGAGACTCAGAGGTTCAATAACCTGCCAAAGGTGACACAGCAGATAGCAGAACCTGGATTTGAGTTCTGCTTGGACAGATTCCAAAGCCCCAGGCGCTCAGCCACATCACTGCGGGGCTCCTTCTAGAAAAGCGTGCTGCACACGGTGCTCCTGTGCGGTACAAGACCCCCAAGCCGCTGCCTGGGGTGGCGCCCACACAGAGGAGGGGAGCACTCATGTCCCATTAGAAACCACTGAAGCTTGGAATTCAGTCCTCTCAACACACACCTAACGAATTCCCACCTGTGTGAAGGGCCAGAGGTGGGTCTAAGGTTGGGCACAGCCTGGGAGCAGCTGGCATTTAAGCAGTCACCTGACAGATATGTGGGCGATCACAGGCACATGTTGGGGGAGGGTGCACGGAGACCCAACAGGAATGAGTTTAGAATTAGGGGGCAGGTCAACGAGGCTCTGTTTACCTTGTTAAAGTTTGAATTTTTATCTTCAGGGCAATGGGTATTCATTGAAGGGTTTGTTTTTTTTGTTTGTTTGTTTGTTTTTGCAGTACGCGGGCCTCTCACTGTTGTGGCCTCTCCCGTTGCAGAGCACAGGCTCCGGACACGCAGGCTCAGCGGCCATGGCTCACGGGCCCAGCCGCTCCGCGGCATGTGGGATCTTCCCGGACCGGGGCACGAACCCGTGTCCCCTGCATCAACAGGCGGACTCTCAACCACTGCGCCACCAGGGAAGCCCCATTGAAGGGTTTTAAACAGGGTGGAACCATCTGTGTTTTAGAAAAAGTACTGTGGCTTTGGGTGGAGAACAGACCAACCGGAGTGAGGCAAGAGTGGGGGCAGGGAAGCGGGCAGAAGGCTGTCTGCCGTGGTATAGGGGAGACAGGACAGCACGGCACCGGGTGTGGCACTGAGGGACCTGGTGCCTGACATGCAGGCAGGGTCAGGAAGGAACACGTGTCGAGGACGACCCCCAGGTTGCTGTCTTGGGCAAATGGGTGCCCATGGAACAGCCAAGTAGACACGTTCCACGGGCACTTAGTTACGGTGACACGTTACCCAGTGCCTGTAACTGCTCTGGATCCCTGTCACTGGCGTTGAGGTGTGGCAGGTGGCTTACACACCCCTTTTACATTAACGTTCTCCCACGCCACAGGTGGGAGACGGCTGCACACAGGAGTGAGTGTTAACGTATCTCCTGATCTTTCTTTTTCCCTTCAAAATTATAAACAACTCCTCAAGGTCATAACCCAGATGTTCCCTGTAGAAAGAGAAATATTGGTGGAAAGTAATGATGATCAAAGACACTGACTGGGCTAATACATCCAGTTTCAAGAGTTATTCATGTTTATTATTTGCCTCAAGTTGACACCAGTGGGAATTCCCTGCTAGGCCTTTCAAACAGTTAAAATCCCAGCAAGCCCCATTCTTAGAGGGTTCTAGGCCAGCGAGAGAACAGGAATGTTTTTCAAAAGTAAGGAATAATGGACAAATAACAGCCATCTGATTAACTAGCAAGCCCTGTGCCTCTGCCCCGGAGGTCCCATGAGTCTTCATTTCTAGAGGGGCAGGCTGGGGTGGGGGTGGGTTTAGAGGCATGTAGAATAGGATTCAGAAACAAAAGCAGAAGATAAAATAGCAAAGGAGGCCAGATTCAAACACACGCAGGACATTAAGAATATAGGAACCTCTGTGCTCCTCCCAGCCTGAGGCACAGTCCTGGTCTGCTCACAACCTTCAGCTCTGCTCTTCGATCAGCAGAATTTCACAAATTAATAAGCAGTGCCTCCAGGAACTTCCCTGGGGGTCCAGTGGTTAAGACTCCACGCGTCCACTGCAGGGGGTAAGAGTTAGATCCCTGGTTGGGGAACTAAGATCCCACATGCCACGCGGCGCGGCCAAAAAAATAAAATAAGTAACATCTGAATAAAAATGAAAATATTAAAAATAATAAAAATAAGCAATGACTGGGTCTTACGGGCCTTAACATACAGTAGCTGTGCATTGATGGGTGAATTGGCAGTGACAGTGAGTTTAGCTGTTTGGCTGCTGTTTATGAAAACCAAATTCAAGGTGTGGCCACTTCCTGCT